GGCTGGAGGTTCGAGTCCACACCAAGGTGCCTCGGAAGAAAGGCCTGGTGATCTACGTCAGAAAAATCAGGCATTAAAAACCCTATGGTGCACAGTTCTTCTCTGACACACATGGGGTCACCATAAGTAGGAGTTGATTTGACAGCGACTGGCTTGTTTTTGTGTGTGTGTTTTGTTTGTTTTTTGGTTAAATGCCAGCCTATAACATGCTCATGACAGCGGATACGCTGTAAAAATACAATCTCTTAAACTTCATACCAACACAGTGTAACACTGTCTGCTGCAGTAAACGCCAAAATTTCAATGACTTAACCCAGAAGTTTATTTCTCGCTAGTGACCAGTCCAGTTCAGGCGTTCTTGGTCTGCGGGCAGGTGTTTTCCATGAAGTGACTCAGAGGCCTCAGATCCATTTATCCTGAGACGTCACCATCCCCTGAGGTTTCCCTCCTCCAAGCGGTCAAACAGCCGTGAGGGGATAAAGAAGGTAACACTTGCCTCTTCACTGCCTTGGTCCAGAAGTGGCACACATCACTTCCACTCACAGACTCCAAGGCAAGAATTAATCCCACTGCCCTATGGAGATGCAGGAGGGCTCTTCCCAGCAAAGCTCTGTTGCTAGTGAGCACCTAGCCAGCTGTGTCACTGTGGCATTTGAATCTTGGCACACAGATTCCTGACAGTATTTCTTAATGGAGAAAAATAGAAGGCAATAGTGAACTTGGAGTAAGTTCTGGTCTGGTCTTTATCATTTACTAAATGGATGGCGCTTGAGTTGCGGTTTAATCATCTGTAAAATGTTAATTGTTCTGAGGACCAAAAAGATAACGTTTGTGAAATTGCTTTTTAACTTATGTATTGAATATATGTATTTTAATATTTTAAAAAAACACAACTTACTGCTGCGGTGTGGATTACAACTCACGGCAACTCCATGTGTTACAGGGTAGAACTGCTCCATAGGGTGTTCTTGGCTGTAATCTTTACAGGAGCAGATCATCAGGGCTTTCTTCTGCAGTGCTGCTGGGTGGGTTTGAACTCTCAACCTTTGGGTTAGTAGCGCACTGAGAACCACTTGCGCCATGCAGGCACACACAAGCATCTCCTGAAATCTGGGCTATGTTTTACAAAGGAAACCAGGATTTATTCTCACTGCTCATTCTCCTCACAACTCATTTCTAACTCATTAGCTGTTTTAAGACTTGCTTGAAGCTTACCTCTGCTGAAACACTCTTCTGCCTCAACTTGTTCTGCTCATCCTTTTAGTGCCCATGTCTCCAGTTACATTGTTCCTACTCTTTGAATTCAAATTGCCTTATAATCAGGGAGGGGGATTCGGGGGAAATAAGAAGACATGAGCGTTTCTTGTGCCAGACTGGGTGTGTGAGCTCTCTCGTTTATCCTCACCGCAACCTTCTGAAGGAGGGAGTCCCCCTTCTACAAACGAGAAAACTGAAGAAATTAAGCAGCTGGCACAGGCTCACACAGCTGTCAAAGGCAGAAGCAGGAACAAGCCCAGTTCCAACTGGTTCTCAAACCCCACTCCCCTTCACCAGTCGGTCTAGGAGGAACAGACAATTCTGGTTCTGTCGTGGGGCTGCTGGTTAGATGGCCCTTTCCTGCTTCCTGGGAAAGACAACACGAGGCTGGCATACCGAACTTCCAAGTGGATAGACTGGCTATATTTTTCCTCCAACTGTTCAAAACAGAAATCTTCACCTTGAACTTGGGGACTGTCTTGATACCTCATCCTAATTTTCCATTTATTTTGGTTATTTCCCTTGAAACCATTCCTAAGCACTTCTCAAAACCTCGAAGCCAACTGAAGGAATTTTGCCCTCCTTTGAATAGTTGCCAGGGGTACTATTTTTATGTCAGCGGAGAAAAGCACGTCCTTTATGTTTATTGCATTTTTGTAAGAAGTATAAAAATTACATGCTACTAAGAATGTTCAAAACAAATCTTGTTTTTCAAGCGATTTATTAAATACTATTGGATCACTAAAAAGCAAATCTGGTGAATTATTCTTGAATAATATTATTAATGATGTTGACTCTGGCATGATTGATCCTTGGGTACTTAATACTTTCCTGCAAACTTTAGTATGAATTTGGGATATAATGATTCGTTATTAAGGTCTTCAAGCTAAAAATATTCAAAAAAAATTCTGTGGGGCTTATTAAAACTATTTTTACTTTTTTGTTTTTTCCAAACCCTTTTGGAAAGTGGATAAATAATGGCTTTTATAGCTCAACACTTTGTGAAGAAAAGTTTCATTATTATCCCTCTCCTACAAGCTTCATACAGTTTGACAACTATAACATGCTATCGTTTACTTTTTCTACTGTGTCATGGGGTCGCTATGAGTCAAAATCAACTCGATGGCAGCAACAACATTTACTTAGAGATAAATGATGGATTTTGGAGGCAAGTCGAATAGACCAAGAAAGTGATCATGTGAAAATCCTTCGCAAAGACTAATAATTCCAAGTACAACTTTAATGAATTTTTTTTCACAGAAATTTTGGCATGTTTTGACAGAGAATTTAAAAAAAAAAAAAAAAAGATTAGGGTTTCAGGGTTTATCTACGACCCAAAACATCAAAAGGCAGTTGTGACTGCGTGAAGGTAGGGACCTTCTCTATTTAATTCATTGCGATGTTTCCAGCGCCCAACACAGCGTTGAGCACACGGTGGTCCCTAAGAATGGTTGAATGAGGGAGTAAATCATCTCCTCAGGAGTCGTATGCTTTACTCTACCTCCTAAAATATCTAGGGCTTTGTTTCTCATTCAGACTGTACTTAGAGCTACGATGTTTATACCAAGGGAAACAAGTTTGAAAATTCAGACAGGTATTGTTCTTTTCTTAACTAAAGATTAAAAAAATAAATTAATAAATTAAAGCCAAGGATTTGAAGGAGCAAGTGCCTAGTTCTTCCTTAAAGTTATTACTGATTTAAGTTGTTAAGTTTATTAAGTTATTTCAGTTATTCTTTCCCCTAACGGCTGTGGATATCGCCCCGCCCCCTTCTCTGAGGGGGCGCAGGAGGCCCCTCTGGCAGACTGTCCTCTGACTAAGGGGCCCCCTGCCAAGACTGTCTTTTGACTAAGGGGCCCCTCTGGCAGACTGTCCTCTGACTAAGGGGCCCCCTGCCACTCTCCCTCTGTGCACAGGCCGCCGTGGCAGCTGAAAGCCTCTTTGATTTCTGCAGAGCTAGTCCGATTGTGTTTTGTACACACTTGAGTCCCTTAGCAAGGAGAAGGACAAGTCATATGAGGATGACCCTCACCGTGCACACCAGGCAGCCACGTGGCTACCACCATGCCCATCACTTCTGGGGGCCACTGAATGCTCAGAGGTCTTCAGGATTTACCCATGACCGCTCTTGATCCTGTCCTCGGCCTGTCATCCCCAACCCTATGCGATAGTCCTTTTTGTACATTACCCTTCAATTCCACCCTCACTAAAAAAACACAACCAAACCCGTTGCTGTCTAGTCGACTCCAACCCATAGTGAACCTCACTAAGGTGACTATCCCAGTTTGCCTAAAACAGTTTCAGTGTTTGCCTATTGTCCAGATGTAACTATTATTGTGTCCCTTTTCACTTCTCACTCACTTTGGATGACAAATTATACTGATATTCTGCTATAGTTCACATATTAAACATGACTCTCTGGGAATATTTTGAGCAATTACTATGTATCTTTAAATTTAAGGTGCAATATGATTATTTACACCATTTCCCCTCTTTCTCCTTTTCTCCTCCCTCTGCCACAAATGCCCTTAGTCTTTTAGGCTTTACTCTTACATTTCACCTACATTACTCTGTTTTGCTCTAAACTCTGAAAGTACCCATTCCCAGCAGCAACACTTGCTGTAACTTTTAGGGACTTGGTGTAGCTCTAACAATTATATTCTTATTAAAAACCAAAAACCAAACCTATCGCTGCCAAGTCGATTCCAACTCATAGCAACCCTATTGGACAGCGTAGAACTGCCCCCACAGGGTTTCCAGGGAGTGGCTGGTGGATTCCAGCCCTATATGCTTGTTAGGCATTCAAAAATTCAGGACTGGCAATTAATAAAATGTCATCTTGCAAAGGCCACGTTGTAAACAGTGGTGACAGAGGCACTAACCTCACTATTTTAAATGGATTTATAGGTGAGACAATGATTGTTTTAGATATTCTTCTACAATAACCCAACCACAATGTATAATGTCCAAGCTGTATTCTGTACTCTATGTATTGATATGTCTGTCTGTCTATCTATTCTCCATCCATCAGCTTTTGGCAGGCCCAGGCTTCTGCAAAAATAAAAACTCAGCAATATTGGTTTTCAGCATTTGTGCTGCCCAAAGTGGGTTCCAATAATTATAATATGTCTCCCACTAAACTCGTTGCCATAAAGCCAATTCTGACTCATGGAGACCCCATGTGCATCAGAGTAGAATTTGATCCATAGGATTTTCAATGGATGATTTTTTAGGAGTAGATGGCCAGACTTTTCTTCCCAGGTACCTCTAGATGGACTCTAACCACCAACATTTTGGTTAGAAGCCAAGAGTGTTAATCACATGCACCACCCAGGGACTTCTAACCAAAACCTAAACCCCTTTGCCAACAAGTTGATTCCTACTCATAGCCACCCTATACGTCACATAAATTTCAGTGGAAGACTTTTTGAAAGACTGCCTTAACCCGAGTGGAATGGTTCCATTAGAGGAATCTCAAGGACCGTTGGAAGTCAGATGGGCAGAGGATAGAAACTTCAGTGTTCTTAAAATCACACCATAGGCAAGTAGCTTCTCACCTCACCAATTCTTCAGACTGATCCTAACCCTCAATATCACACACCTGCAAAATTGCACTTAATTTGATGCTTTTATTGAGCAAATTTATGCTGAACATTTTTTAAAATCACTGGCCCTGAGGCATATCTTCTTCAAGTACCAGTTTCCTGTTAGTGAACAAATTATTACTGATGTAGACCCATTCTTCACACTTTTTGGTAGACTCTAGTGCTGACAATATTATTCATGGTACATTCCTAAAAATAAAGAGGGATCTATTATTAGAGTTGGCAGATGACAGATTACACTTGCCCTCCCTTTCCCTGCCCAGAACAAATCTCCAATTCAGTTAAAGAAATAATTGAGTCATATGAAAGGAATATACCAAAAAGAAGCGTTGAAATTTTGCATTTACAGAAAACTCACCACCACCATTTTCCCATGGACAATCTGTCTTTTGATTGTTGTCTCTTTGCCGAGCCACTTTTGAACCTGAATCATTGAGCCACTGTCTAATGTTATGATGCTCTGTGAAAGCATGAAAGAATCAGTTAGAAATAGTACTTCACTAAATCCTAACCTACACAAGACTAGACATCTACTCTTTATTTCCATTTTGAAATTATTTTCTTCAAAAGCCTCCCCTTGGTTCTTGTCATAAATTAATACCATCAGATTGGAAGCAGCCTTAAGAGATTATCCGGTCTAAGCTATTTATGCTTGATCATTCTCTTCTATCTGCATTTCCATATAATGACAGAGAGAGATCAGAAAAAAAAAAAAAAGTAGAAACATTTTGAATGTTTTTCCCTGTTAACTATCAGAATAACCAGGGAAGAGGACTGACTTTGGACATATGCAGGCATTAACCAACAAAACAAGCCTGAGCTGACTTGGTGACAAATCAAACTCAGATTATCAGGCTATGAATAAACCACGTATAAACCACTTTCTAGTAGTTTCCTGATTGTTGAACACCAGGAAGATTTAGTTCTCACCTTCACTTGACGGTTGTCTGCTGTGGTCTCCTCAAACTCTTCCCCCAGCTTGAAGGAGATAGCAGTGTTCTTGAAAGAATTTTCCATTCTGATGCTCACCACGTCCCCATTGACACTGATACTCACAGTGGGCTTCACTGACCTGGCCATGTTCCGGGCTGCAAATCTCACTCCTGGAAGGTAGGGGAAGCAACACACCGTAAGACATTAAGGAGGAATTGTTAATCAGTTTGGAAAGCAGTTGTAAAAGAATGCATACTTTCCCCATTGAGGTTTTGGATAATTTACTGTAGCTTCGTTTATGCTTTCTGTGATCTCTGGATTGAGCCAGACCCTCCCAATTATAAGGTAGGTCTAATGAGTATATTGGACATTTTAAAAAGGTAAATTCACTTTTTGAGACTTTTGTGCTTCATCTAAAATCCTATCTTCACAGATGACTCATCAAATTGATCTCTGAGACCTGACAATAATATAGTAGAATAAAGTATATCTGTATGGTGCCTTCCAGTTTAGCAAACGGAGTATTACAACAACAGGTCAGAGATGTCATTATTCTCGTTTTAGACATGGGTACACGGTGTCCCAGGGAGGTAGAGAGGCTTATTCCGGGTTACAAAACAAACAAAGAAACACAGCTTTTTAACTACCTAAACTACTCAGAAAGAATATGGCTTATAGCGTCCAAGCTTCTCCATCATTTGAAGATTAAGCTTAGCGCTGGCAGAGCAAAGAGGCGGCAGGCAAGCTGGACACTTTGGTTTTGCATCTGGCAATTTTGTTCAGGCTGGAGATTCTCCATCATCAGATGTAATTCCAACAATAGCTGAACAGAAGAACTGAGTCCTCTCTCTTCCTTGATTTCCAGTTCTATTTGACCTTCAGACTGTGGAACTGACATGAAGTGTCTGGCTGCAGAGAAGCAGTGTTAGAAACGTAGCACCCACGAAAGAGTAAGGCGGTTAGCACTCGGGGCTCCAAATTTGCCACCTGCTAGCTCGGACATATCACCTTCTCTAACTTACAGACTTCTCTGTAAAAAGTGGATAATTATGGTGTTTACCTCATAGGTGAGTTAGGAGATTAAATAAAAGAACACAGCACGGCACTGGCATGAAGCCGGTGCTCAGTAGAGGCCAGCTGTTCTTCCTCTTTGCACTATGCCTAATTCTAGCTCCCAATCAAAACAAGGGCTACACTTGTCATAAGCCCCAACATTTTAATATGCCCTCATATTTAAACTCAAAACAAGTGAGCATAAGAGATAGGGTGAAGAGAGAGGGAAACGGGTTTCATATTGTTGTTATGTCGTTAGGTGCTGTCCAGTCATTTCTGACTCACAGCGACCCTACGTACAAGAGAGCAAAACACTGCCCAGTCCTGCACAATCCCCACAATCATTGCTATGTTTGAGCCCATTGGTGCAGCCACTGTGTTAATCCATCTCATTGAGGGTCTTCCTCTTTTTCACTGACCCACTACTTTACCAAGCATGATGGCCTCCAGGGACTGGTCCCTCCTGATAACACATCCAAATTATGTGAAACGAAGTCTCACCATCCTCCCTCCTAAGGAGTATTCTGGCTGTACTTCTTCCAAGACAGATTTGTTCACTCTTCGAACACCCCATGGTATATTCAATATTCTTCACCAACACCATAATTCAAAAGCATCGGTTCTTCCTCAGTCTCCCTTATTCGCTGTCCAGCTTTCGCATGCATATGAGGTGATAGAAAATACCATGGCTTGGGTCAGGCGCATCTTAGTCCTCATAGTGACTTCTTTGCTTTTGAACACTTTAAAGGGTTCTTTTGTGGCAGATTTGCCCAATGCAATGTGACATCTGATTTCTTGACTGCTGCTTCCATGGGTGTTGATTGTGGATTCAAGTAAAATGAAATCCTTGACAACTTTAATATTTTCTCTATTTATTATGATGTTGTTATTGGTCCAGTTTGAGGATTTTTGTTTTATGTTGAGATGAAATCCATACTGAAGGCTGTGGTCTTTGATCTTCATCAGTAAGGGCTTCAAGTCCTCTTCACTTTCAGCAAGCAAGGTTGTGTCATCTGCATATTGCAAGTTGTTAATAAGTATTCCTCCAATCCTGATGCTGTATTCTTCTTCATACAGTCCAGCTTGTCGGATTATTTGCTCAGCATAGAAATTGAGTAAGTATGGTGAAAGGATACAACCCTGAGGCACAACCTTCCTGATTTTAAAGCATGCAGTATCCCCTTGTTCTTTTAGAACTACTGCCTCTTGGTCTATGTACAGGTTCTTCATGAGCACAATTAAGTGTTCTGGAATTCTTATTCTTTGCAATGTTATCTATAATTTGTTATGATTCACACAGTCAAATGCCTTTGCATAGTCAATAAAACACAGGTAAACATCTTTCTGGTATTCTCTGATGCATCTGATATCAGCAATAATATCCCTTATTATTATCTATGTCCTCTTCTGAATCTGGCTTGAATTTCTATCAGTTCCCTGTCGATGTTCTGCTGCAACCATTTTTTAATTATCTTCAGCAAAATTTTACTTCTGTGTGATATTATCATATTAATGATATTGTTCTATAATTTCCGAATCCTGTTGAGTCACCTTACTTTGGAATGGGCATGTATATGGATCTCTTCCAGTCTGTTGGCCAGGTAGCTATCTTCCAAATTTCTTGGCATAGACAAGTGAGCACTTCCAGCATTGTATCCGTTTGTTGCAACATCTCAGCTGATATTCTGTCAATTCCTGGAGCCTTGTTTTGCACCAGTGTCTTCAGTGCTGCTTGTACTTCTTCCTTCAATACCATCCATTGGTATTGAATACAAAGCCAAAGATTTTGATCATATGCTTCCTCCTGAAATGGCTGAACATCGACCAAGTCTCTTTGGTACAGTGACACTGTGTATCCTTTCTAGCTTCTTTTGATGCTTCCTGTGTCATTTAGTATTTTGCTCATAGAATCCTTCAGTATTGTAACTTGAGGCTTGAATTTTTTCTTCGGTTCTTTCAGCTTAAGAAATGTTGAGCGTGTTCTTCCCTTTTGGTTTTCTTCTTGTCTTCTTGAGCTGCCCTTTGAAATTTTCTGTTTAGCTCTTTTACTTCATCATTTTCTCCATTCACTTTAGCTACTCAATGTTCAAGAGCAAGTTTCAGAGTCTTTTGACATCCATTTTGGTCTTTTCTGTCTTTTTAATGACCTCTTGCTTTCTTCATGTATGATGTCCTTGATGTCATTCCACAAAATGTGTCATCTATTCTTGAGATGGTCTCTAAAGTCAAGTGGTATATATTCAAGGTCAGACGTTGCTGCTCATGGACTTGTTCTAATTTTCTTCAACTTCAACTTGAACTTGCATGTGAGCAATTGATGGTCTGTTCCACAGTTGGCCTCTGGCCTTCTTCTGACTGATGATAATGAGCTTTTCCATCCTCTCTTTCCACAGATGTAGTTGAATTGAAAAAACGGTATACCCACTGAAGAGGTCATTATTCGTGCAAAACTCTATCATGAGATCTCCGGAGTCATTTCTATCACCAAGGCCATGTTTTCCAACTGCTGTTCCCTCTTCTTTGTTTCCAACTTTCACATTCAATCACCAGTAATTATCAGTGCATCTGGATTGCATGTTTAATCAATTTCAGACTGCAGAAGTTGGTAAAATCTTCAATTTCTTCATCTTTGGCCTTAGAGGTTGGTCTCTAATTTGAGTAGTATTTGCATTAACTGGTCTTCCTCGTAGGCATATGGATATTAACCTATCACTGACAGCGATGCACTTCAGGATAGATCTTCAAATGTAATTTTAGAGGATGAATGTGATGCCTTTCCCCTTCAATTTTTCTTTCCAGCATAGTAGACCATATGATTGTCTGATTCAAAATGACCAATACCAGCCCATTTCAGCTAGCTAAAGCCTAGGATAGCGATGTTTATGTGTTCCATTTCATTTTTTATGACTTCCAATGTTCCTAGATTCATACTTCGTACAATCCACACTCTGATTATTAATGGAAGTTTGTAGGGTTTCTTCTCATTTTGAGTCATGCCACATCAGCAAATGAAGGTCCCAAAAGCTTGACTCCATCCATATCATTAAGGTTGACTCTACTTTGAGGAGGCAGCTCTTTCCCAGTCATATTTTGAGTGCCTTCCAACCTGTGGGGCTCATCTTCTGGCACTATGCCAGACAATGTTCCACTGCTATTCATAAGGTTTTCATTGGGCCAATTCTTTTAGAAGTAGACTGCCAGGTCCTTCTTTCTAGTCTGTCTTAATCTGGCAGCTCCACTGAAACCTGTCCGCCATGGTGACCCTGCTGGTATCTGAAATACCACCCATATGTCAGTTTGTTGTACTGTGGTGGCTTGTGTGTTGCTGTGATGCTGGAAGTTATGCCACTGGTATTTCAAATACCAGCAGGATCACACATGTTTCATATTACTCCTTGAGAAAGTTAACACTGATTATGAAAGAGGAACACATATCACATTTATAAGTACATTAATTTCTTATGATGGGTAGAAGGCATTGTTGTGTGGTTGCCTAGAATAGCAAACATGTTATTCATAGTTGTAAGCATCCATTGATGAATTCAACCAAGTTAAAAAAGGAAGTTTAAAAACCCTTGGCTTTGTATACAGTTTATTACTGCAGGTGAGTTCTCCCATAGTTAAGTATGGAAAATATTAAATAATTACTGTTCTGCTAGTAACTAGTAAAAAAAAAGTTTAACTGCTATACCAAGAACCTGTCATCGTTGAGTCAACTCTGACTCATAGAGACCCTATAGGATAGGGATAGAGTAGAACTGCCCCATAGGGTTTCCAACCTTTTGGTTAGCAGCCAAGCTCTTACCCATTGCGCCACCAGGGCTCCAACTGTTATAGACCCAAGTAATTATAATTGATTGTTAAGTATTCTCAACTTGAATTACAGAAAAAGGATTGGTCAAGCTTATACTTCCGAAAAATAGCCAGTGGTGAGATATTCAATGAGTATAAATGTTCTATTACTTCCATCAAAATTCAATATTCTTCAAAATTATATTTTTTGAATATCTCCCACATGTATCAGAATTCTGAAATTAACCAACTGGAAATTTTATTTGTTGTTATTACTCTGTAACTTTCAACTTAAAGCAAATCTTGAAACAAATTTAATTGACAAATTTAATTACAGATAGTGATTACTGCCTATTAATTTTAACCTAGAAAAAGCTATCTGATGTAATGATAAAGATAAAGAGAGACTCTATCAAAGGGTTTAGATGAAACATTTTTATAAGGGATAAATGGGCCTAAAAACATAGATTATGACTGGAGAAAGGTATATGGGAGCCTTGTATTCCAAAAAGAGGAAATTATCACTAGAAATAAAAAGCGACCCATAATCTCAGTAGTCTCATGTGAATATACCCTAGAATTACAAAAGAAAGAAAGAATTGCAGGCAAATTCGTTGTCACAGTGCAAGTCAACCACATCACAAAAATGCTTTGCCAGGTTGCAAATATTATCATAGCATTTCTCACCCAGTTCTTTCATGTAATCCTCAAAGTTCTCACTGGAGACCAGCTTCCAGGTTCCCAAGAAGGGCTCAACCATCATGGAAATCTTGCTGAGAAGATGCACTCAGAAGTGAAAGGCAAAGAAATGTAGGCACTGCCGTGTTACCAGTACCTTCATTTAAAGACCATCTTTATCACGTGACTCTTCTGACATGGCCAACGGGCAGCGGCAAGACCAAAGATTCTAGGCACCAACATTTGAGTCATTTTATTTACCTCCAAATTAAGAAAGAGAAAATTAGCATGTAAAGTTGAATTTGTGTCAGTGATTATAGCTTCTAGCAGGGAGATTTACATCCAAGGGTCACCTGGTAAATATTTCTTGTGCAATGGAGACCATTTTTAATAGAGGGCAGCCGTTTCAAGCACACATGCTGAGTCAGCTCTGAAGGAACATCCCAACAAATGCCTAATGAACACCTGACTGAAGCGTTCTCCCACTGAAGACAAGCACACCCTTGCTTGGTCCAGCTCAGCTGTTTTCTGTTTGGGGAAGTCCCAGTACAAGAGGATCCTCTTCATTACAATAATAGCTTCCCTTCCCTTCCTTGCAGGGCTGATGGACTGATATTATTTAACGTAACTGAAATGCCTACAGTTCCTTGGAGTGAGGTGGAGGGTATTATTAATGTTATCGTTATTGTTAATCAAGGGTATTTGAGGACTAGAAGAAAGGTAACAATCCCCATTGAGTAGTGGTTTGTGATTTAAGTTCTAGAAAGGGGGTGAAGCTAATGATTGGAAAATTCATCTTTTAAGCTTACAAAGTAATCTTGATGTTAAAAGAAACCATTTGAACTTGTGAGGGAAAAATTTGAGATTTTTTTCTGGAGAAATATGGTATTTTGATATCTGCATTCTGAAAAAGAAAAAAGCAGTAGACAATTTAAATCTCTATGCAGTTGTTTCTGAAATCACCCTCTGGAACCCGTTGAGGGTGCTGAGTGTACTAAGAAGCACTCGACTCAGGGTCTATGGATTTACATCACAGCTTTGGAATCCTGTGGTTTTGAGGATGGCTGGGAAGTTAGGGTGCCAGTGACAAGAGGAAGAATATTCATACTATTATCTGCCTCCTATCAAATAGTCTTTCAATTCAGAGCAATATGTATTCAAACTATCTCTTTGTAGACAAAACAAAAAAAGAGGTTGATGGTTGGGCATGGCAAAGTTGTAATTTAAGTGGTATAAATAATTTTTTTTTGATGAAACACATAAAGAAGAAATCATGTTACATGAGATATTTATAGGTAGAGCAGAGTTATTAAAATATCTGAAGGGCAGAACAAGCGAAGCAAAAACACTAGAGGAAATTTCAGGACACTGAAACCCGTGCTCAGGATAGGTGCCTTGGCATTGACGGTGCGCCCAGAGGTGATGTTCAAACCAGAGTTTCTTTTGCTGAGTCTGGGTGTATATGCACTCAGTGCTTGAAAGTTAGCAAATGTATTTGGCCACGTATGTTTGCCTGCAGGGTAGTGTCACAAAGTCTCCCATTAGCTACCTTTGTTATTTCTAATCCTCTGCCATTGATTGATTCAGAAATGAAACTCATGTTTCTGGCTGCCATATTTTCCTCAGTCTTAGGAGAGAGCCAGAGGGAGAGATGGTTCCTCTTCTTCCTCTGCACATTTCGTGTCTTTAAAAAATATTTAGACCTGATGCAGCCATTGTGTTACCAACTGAGATGAAGCCAAACCTCAAAACGACAAAACAGAAAAGTGGGAAGAACTGAAGACAAAGTTACTTTAGCAATTTCTTTTATGTATGTAATAAATTCCATTATTATTTAAGCAATTTTGTGTCTGAGATTTTGCTACTTGCAGCTCTCCCTGTTCCCCCATTGCCATCGAGTCAATTCCGACTCATAGCGACCCTATAGGACAGAGTAGAACTGCCCCATAGGGTTTCCAGGGTGCAGCTGGTGGATTTGAACTGCCGAGCTTTTGGTTAGCAGCCTGAGCTCTTCATCACTGCACCACGAGGGCCCACTTGCAGCTTAAGCCTTCCTAATTGGGACCCTTTCATAAATAGCTTCACCCAGTGGTTATTTGGACTTTCAAAACAGCCAATTACTTGTGACACGTGCAGTTGAAACTGGGCGCAGCATCTCCCCATCTTTCCTGACCCAACTCAAGCATCTCCTCCTCTGAAGGAGGAAACTGGCTCAGAGTTAGTTGATCTCTAATAAGTGATACAATTGTACTTGCCCTGGTGGCTCATGCAGTGGTTAAAACACCTGGCTTCTAACCAGATGGTCTGCGATTTGAACACAGCAGCTGCTATGAGGGAGAAAGATGTGGCAGTCTGCATCCCATAAAGATTAAGCAGTTGCTGTTGAGCAGATTCGAACTCATAGCAACACAATTACACAGAATAGAACTGCCCCACAGGGTTTCCAAGGCTGTAATTTTTACAGAAGTAGACTACTTCCCTTTCTCCGGTGGAGGGGCTATTATTGTTGTTGTAAGGTGCCATGGAGTCAGTTCCGACTCATAGCTGCCCTATGTACCATGGAATGAAATACTGCCTGGTCCTCTACTATCCTCACAATAATTGTTATGCTTGAGGCCAGTGTTGTGTCCGCTGTGTCAATCCATCTCGTTGAGGGTCTTTCCCCTTTTTAACTGACCCTCTACTTTACCAAGCATGATGTCCTTCTTCAGGGACTGATGCCTCCTGATAACATGTCCAAAGTACTGAGACAAAGTCTCCCTATCCTTGCTTCTAATGAGCATTTCGGTTGTACTTCTTCCAAGACACACTTGTTCGTTCTATTGGCAGTCCATGGTATACTCAATATTCTTCACAAACACCATCATTCAAAGGCATCAATTCTTCTGTCTTTCTTATTCACTGTCCAGCTTTCACATGCATATGATGTGATTGAAAACACCATGGCTTGGGTCAGGCAAACCTTAGTCCTTTAAGTGACATCTTTGCTTTTTAACACTTTAAAAAGGATCTTTTGCAGCAAATTTGCCCAGTGCAATGTATCCTTTGATTTCTTGACGCTGCTTCCATGGGTGTTGATTGTGGATCCAAGTAAAATGAAATCCTTGACAACTTCAGTATTTTCTCTGTTTATCACGATGTTGCTTATTGGTCCAGTTGTGAGGATTTTAGTTTTCTTATGTTGAGGTGTAAAGCATACTGAAGGCTGTAGTCTTTGATCTTCATCAGTAAGTGTTTCAAGACCTCTTCACTTTCAGCAAGCAAGGTTGTGTCATCTGCATAATGCAGATTGTTAATGAGTCTTCCTCCAATCCTGATGCCCTGTTCTTCATATAGTCCAGTTTCTCGGATTATTTGCTCAGCATACAGACTGAATAAGTATGGTGAAAGGATACAACCCTGATGCATACGTTTCCTGACTTTAAACTGTGCAGTATCCCCTTGTTCTGTTTGAACGACTGCCTCTTGGTCTATGTACAGGTTCCTCATGAGCACAATTAAGTGTTGTGGAATTCTCATTCTTCCCAGTGTTATCCATAATTTGTTATGATCCACAGTCGAATGCCTTTGCATAGTCAGTGAAACACAGGTAAACGTCTTTCTGGTATTCTCTGCTTTCAGTTACTATCCATCTGACATCAGCAATGATATCCCTTGTTCCACGTCCTCTTCTGAATCCAGCTTGAATTTCTGACAGTTGTCTGTTGACATACCGCTACAACCGCTTTTGAATGCTCTTCAGTACAATTTTACTTGTGTGTGATATTAATGATATTGTTTGATCATTTCTGCATTCTGTTGGATCACCTTTCTTTGGAATGTGTAAAAATATGGATCTTTTCCAGTCGGTTGGCCAGGTAGCTGTCTTCCAAATTTCTTGGCATAGACAAGTGAGCACCTCCAGCGCTGCATCCTTTTGTTGAAACATCTCAACTGGTATTTTGTCAATTTTTGGTTAACAGCCGAGTGTCTAACCACTGCACTACCAGGGGTCCTTCTGTGAAGATTACAGCAGTTGTACTCTGTCCTATCGGGTCTCTGTGAGTCAGAATTGACTCAACGCACACAATAACATATTAGATAACTTATCTCACAGTATTGCACTAGTTACCCCCTCTTACTCACCTCTGTGTCCCTAAGACAGTGCCTAGCATATCGCTGGTGCTCAGAAAATGCTTTATGAATTAGTGACAAAAGGAATAAACAGTGTTTATTCCCTTTTAACTGACAGTTCTGATTAGTGCTCTTTATCTCTAACGGTGACGAAGGACTGGTTTTAATACAGTACCCTCTCCTGACCTGCTCCTACAATAGACCCTTCATCTGGTCATTATCTAATGGTGGAAGGCCTCCCAGACTTCCTTCTCCTTTGATCGGTCTTGAATTATTACAAGTCTCTCCCTTCTCAACTAAGAAAGTTTTCTCTTACTCCTGCTGTTACCACCACTAGCGCATTTGGTACATTTGTTTGATTAGAAAAGAAAAACACCACTTCCTTATGTAAAAACTTTTTTAAATCAGAATGTTCCTAATTTTTAATTCTAGTAAAGAAACGAGAATATAGTAATTTGTTATAAAATAATTACGTCTTGTTTTCACGACATTTCAATGTTTACTGCTCCGCTGTCTCATTTTTATATGCTTCTCCAAAATCTAGTTTTAAAAAGTAACTTTCTTTCTTGTGACATTTTAGACATTTGTTTTTGTTAGTTGCTGTCGATTCAATTCCAACTCATGGTGACCCCATGTGTACAGCGTAGAACGATTCCATAGGGTTTTCAAGGCTATGCCCTTTCGGAAGCAGATTGACAAGCCTGTCTCCTGAAGCCCTTCTGGATGAATTTGAACTGCCAACCTTTCGGCTAATAGTCAAGTGCTTAACCGTTTGCGCCACACGGGGACTCCTTTTTTGACGTTAAGTAGTCAAAAAATCTGCTACAAAAGATCTCTTTTAAGTGTTATTTTGATACGCTACATTCTCCACTGATGATGGGTATTGGTGAAATTAAACACATACTGGGATCTGCAAAGGTATTCAGAAATATGTCTGGTAATTTGTAACTGGCATATATAACACTGTAGCTGGAGTCACACTAGATATTAAGGTTTTTTATTTCCACATGCTGTGATTCCCTTTCAATATCACATTCCTTACTACGTTCTTCAACCAATTTCTATTGTCAACACTTACATAGATG